CATACACATCGGTACATACACACACATATAGTTTTCTTTTTACACGAAGGATAGTATGCTGTGCACACTGTTGAACAGTATATCTTGGAGATCTTTGTATAACAGATGTACAGATGTACCTAATTATTTTAAATGTCTGTATCATAATATATCATTATATGAAAGCACCATATTATTTAACTATTGTCCTACGGATGGATATTTTGGTTCTTTCCAATATTTTGCTATTACAAATAGTAGCAAATAACAACAAAATCAAACACCTGTTATGACTGGATTTTAAATTCAAATATTTAAATTTTGTTTAAAGTATATCCTTTATGTTTCAAATAATATTTTAATATCAGATTATTAAGGGTAACTGAAATATTTAGGAAATGAAGACTATAGATATTGTATTTGTATGTTTGTCCACATTATGCCCAAATCAGCTCATAAAAACAAGTGCATTCCTTAATCCCCATCATCTATTTCACCCATCCGCACATTCACCTCCCTTCTGGTAGCCATCAGGTTGTTCTCTGTAGTTAAGAGTCTGTTTCTTAGGGGCGCCTGGGTGGCTCAGTTGGTTAAGTGACTGCCTTCGGCTCAGGTCATGATCCTGGAGTCCCAGGATCGAGTCCTGCGTCAGACTCCCTGCAGGGAGTCTGCTTCTCCCTCTGATCCTCCCCCCTCTCATGTGCTCTCGCTCTCTCATTCTCTCTCTCAAATAAATAAATAAAATCTTTAAAAAAAAAAAAGAGTCTGTTTCTTAGTTTGTCCCCCTCTCTCTTTTTTCCCTCTTTGTTCATTTGTTTTGTTTCTTAAATTCCACATATGAGTGAAATCATATGGTATTTGTCTTTCTCCAACTGACTTATTTTGCTTAGCATAATACTGTCCCGCTCCATCCATGTCGTTGCAAATGGCAAGATTTCAATCTTTTATATGGTTGAGTAATATTTCACTGTGTGTGTGTCTGTGTGTGTGTGTGTGTGTGTGTGTATCCATTCATCAGTTGATGGACACTCAGGCTGTTTCCATGGTTTGGCTATTGTAGATAATGCTGGGGTAAACACTGGGATATATGTATCCCTTTAGAATTAGTATTTTTGTATGCTTTGGGTAAACACCTAGTAGTGCAATTGCTGGATCATAGGGTAGTTCTTTTGCATTTTAAGTTTATTTATTTCTTTAAGTAATCTCTACACCCAACGTGGGACTCAAACCCATGATCCCAAGATCAAAAGTCACATGCTCCTCTGAATGAGCCAGCCAGGTGCCCCAGGTTGTTCTATTTTTAACTTTTTGAGGAACCTCCATACTGTTTTCCAGAGTGGGTGCACTAGCCTGTATTCCCACCAACAATGCAAGAGGGTTCGCCTTTCTCCACATGTTCACCAGCACCTGTTGTTTCTTGTATTGTTGATTTTAGCCATTCTGACAGTTGTGAGGTGGTATCTCATTATAGTTTTGATTTGTATTTCCCTGATGATGAGTCATGTTGAGCATCTTTTCATGTGTCTGTTGGCCATCTGGTTGTCTTCTTTGGAAAACTGTCTATTCATGTCTTCTGCCCATTTTTAATTGGATTATTTGTTTTTTGAGTATTGAGTTTTTTAAGTTCTTTATATATTTTGGATACTAACCCTTTATCAGATATGTCATTTGCAAATATCTTCTCCCATTCTGGAGGTTGCCTTTTAGTTTTCTTGATTATTTCCTTTGCTGGGCAGAAGCTTTTTATTTTGATGAAATTTCAATAGTTCATTTTTGTTTTTGTTTCCCTTGCCTCAGGAGACATATCTAGTAGGAAGTTACTATGGCCGATATCACAAAAGTTACTACCTGTATTCTCCTCTAGGATTTTGATGGATCCCTGTCTCACATTTAGGACTTTCATCCATTTTGAATTTATTTTTGTGTACAGGGTAAGAAAGTGGTCCAGTTTTCATTCTTTTGCATGTTGCTGTCCAGTTTCCTCAACACCATGTGTTGAAGAGACTTTCTTTTTCTCATTGGATATTCTTTCCTGCTTTATTGAAAATTAATTGACCATATAGATGTGGGTTTATTTCTGGGTTTTCTATCCTGTTCTGTTGATCTATGTGTCTATTTTGGTGCCAAGTTAGAAAAAATATATTTGATTGAATAAGGACAAGATGTCTTGTATTCCATCAATAAAAATTAGTTGGAAAAATAAGAACAATTCACTAAAAAGTTCCCATTTCAAGCAGTTTGGGTATCAGAAAGATAAAGCTGATGTCACGTAAAGCTCTTTTCTAAGTGAATTTCTAAGTGCATTTGTTTGTTCTCAACAACTATTTTGGGCATTTCACCAAATCTATATATTTTCCTAATCTTACCTGTCATCTGATAAATTTTTGTTTCGGTTTCTCTTCTAAATAGCCTTATAAATATGAGATGAACTTTTCTCATGTCAGCATGGAATTCCTATGCCAGTCAATTAATGATGCTTTAATGGTGATCTCTTATATGCCCAGCTCTATTCTATGTCTCCTGTGAATTACAAAGACATATAAAACATATCCCTTTAATCAGTAGGATTCTAGTTGGACAGTTGAAGCAAGACATAAATATGGGAACAATTAAAAGGAATTCAGGACAGGGGCACCTGGGTGGCTCAGTTGGTTGGGCGACTGCCTTCAGCTCGGGTCATGATCCTCGGGTCCTGGGATCGAGTCCCACATCGGGCTTCCCTTGCTCTGTGGGGAGCCTGCTTCTCTCTCTCCCTCTGCCTGCCACTCCCCCTGCTTGTGCTCTCTCTCTCTGTCAAATAAAGAAATAAAATCTTTAAAAAAAAAAAGGAATTCAGGACATAAATAATAGCTTGATACAAGGTTTGCCATAAGCCATTTTGTATCTGTGTGCCAAGTGCTCTCATTTCTTTCTTCCAGGTGCCTCTCAAATTTGCCTTTTTTTTTATGTTATGTTAGTCACCATACAATACATCATTCGTTTTTGATGTGGTGATCCACGATCCTTTGTTTTCGTATAACACCCAGTGCTCCATGCAGTATGTGCCCTCCTTAATACCCATCACCAGGCTAACCCATTCCCCCACCCCTCTCCCCTCTAAAACTCTGTTTGTTTCTCAGAGTCCATAGTCTCTCATGGTTCATCTCTCCCTCTGATTTCCGCCACCCTTCATTTTTCCCTTCCTTCTCCTAATGTCCTCTATGCTATTCCTTATGTTCCACAAATAAGTGAAACCATATGATAATTGACTTTCTCTGCTTGACTTATTTCACTTAGCATAATCTCCTTCAGTCCCATCCATGTTGATGTAAAAGTTGGGTATTCATCCTTTCTGATGGCTGAGTAATATTCCATTGTATATGTGGACCACATCTTCTTTATCCATTCATCTGTTGAAGGGCATCTTGGCTCTTTCCAAAGTTTGGCTATTGCGGACATTGCTGCTATGAACATTGGGGTGCATATGGTCCTTCTTTTCACTACATCTGTGTCTTTGGGGTAAATACCCAAGAGTGCAATTGCTGGGTCATAGGATAGCTCTATTTTCAATTTTCTGAGGCACCTCCACACTGTTTTCCAAAGTGGCTGTACCAACTTGCATTTCCACCAACAGTGTAAGAGGATTCCCCTTTTTCCACAACCTCTCCAACATTTGTTGTTTATTTCCCTGTCCATATTTGCCATTCTAACTGGTGTAAGGTGGTATCTCAATGTGATTTTGATTGGGATTTCCCTGATGGCTAATGATGATGAACATTTTTTCATGTGTCAAATTTGCCTTTTTAAAAATTTTCCCAGAATCCACGACTAATGACTTTTCATCCTCTCTCACCTCCGCCCTGCACTACTGTGTTATTACTACATCCTCTTAGCTGTTTTTTCTCCTCCAACCCATCCTATATAGGAAGCCAATCATCTTTAGATAGCCCTTCCCTTGAATCGTTTGTTGCTATTGTTCCAAGAATTTACAATGGTCTTGTAGGCTACTACATCATGTCTAAATTCCTCTGCATATTTCTCAGGATCCTCCAGAATTGAGTTCCATCCTATCTATTTTCATTTCTAATTACTCTGCATCATGAGCAGCTTGCTCTTTACCCTACCCCACCTAGCTTCTTCTCACCAGATTATTTTCCTCTAGTCATATTATGCTCTAAGTTCTACCTCTCTTCCTTGGTTTGTGTTGTTAATCTTTCCTTCATTTCTTCTTCCTTTCTCTTTACCTTTCCAAATCTTTTCCATTCTTTAAGGTCTATGTGGAGACCCATTTCCTTCATAAAACTTTCCCCAACTCTGCCAGCCAATATTGGCCTATCCTTTCTTCATTCCTTTACCACATATAGTCTTATGGCTCAAATGCTACAATTTTTCACTAGGATGGTCTTTGTTCTATTATCTCTTTATTTTGATATGATAATTTTGGTTCATAGTCGTAGATTATAAATTGAGGGTAAATATAAGGACTTTACTTCCTTCTCCCTTAGCACTTAGCACAGCACTTGGTGGACAAAAGATGCTCAATCAATATTTTTAATCATTATCCTAATGAAGGTACCAGTGTTTTATTATATTGTTTCAGAGGTTGAGTGGGGAATGGGGCATGATTCAGAGGTGTAGAAGGTTCAATCCACCAGAAATGTCTATTAGGGTTGTATTTTATTAAGAATATTTAGCACCACAAAGTACATATGGAGATATAATGTTTATCTGATTATACTTTTAAAATCTATATTTCTTTATACTTACAAGCTTATAAAAATCACTCAAAATAGTCCCTTTGTTTGATCTTGTTTGAAAGTGTAGCTGTTGAAATGGCCTATTTACAGTGAATCAGTGGGGCTCTAAATGTGCTGGGAAATGGATATTATATGGATAGAGTAACAACTCAAGTAAGAACACTGTCTAATAAATGTTTACACACCATCAAGTCTACAAATATTAAATATCACTCACAATAGAATCTTTCTTATCCTGCAATTTATCTCAATTTTTCCATTACCTTCTTTCATTTTCTCTTCTAGCTTTACTCACAGACAAGCCTCCCAAGCCATTGTTCCCCATGGAGAATCAGCCAAGTGTTATAGATGTCCAGCTGGGTAAGTCCCCTTCTGGGAATAATAGATCCTAAGCTTGCTCTCTGTTAACAGATGGGGAAGATTGCATGAACCAGGAAAGGTTTATTGCTTCTGTTATTACATGCAAATCAATTTGTGCCTGCTCATTTATAACCCTGGAGTTCAGTGCAATAGCAATTTAAGGAAATGAGTTTGTATTGCATCAAGGAATTGTAATACTAATTGGTTACACTAGGTATTAAGTGTGCTATAGGACAGAGCTTTTTAACTCTGTGATTGATAGATTCATAGATGTCATGCATTGGTGATTGGTATAAAAGACTTTTCATGCTTGCCAGCCCAAAATTTTCATTTAGAGAACATTAACTTCTGGAGAACAGCACTTTTTAAAATAAAAGAGCCCCTCAGTACAATCCTTAAAATGATTTGATAATATTATTTCCAATGGCATAATCCAGGGCTATTTAAAACTTGTTTTTAGGTTGAGATCCTGAATATTTATGAATCATACAGTGTTGGTAAAAGTAACAAGATGATTTATTGGTGCTAATGTTTTTTTACAGACTCAAATAAGGACACAAGGTGTTCAGCCTTCCTTTTTAAGTCCCTACCAGTAATCCTTGTATTTCAAGAACTGTGAGCTTGAGATTCAGAAGTCTGTTAGTATCTCTTTCACACCATGGCCTTTACTCTAAACCATGTACTTTAATATTTGTGAGCTTTTATCCACCTTGGGTTTCATTCTATTCTTCAATTCTCAGAATTTCTTCAATTCTAAACAAGAGAAATGAGCAAATATGCTGTAAATGCACTAGGTTTATTTTGGGTATATGATTTATTGAAACCTGTGACCATAGTGGTACCTACCAATTATATAGCCAAGGAAGATGAATTGGCCCCAATATTTCACCCTCTTTGGAAGGTGTTTTACTCAACTTTTGATCTTTCCAATACAATTTGGACTGTTAGAGGCTTATTTCTATCTTGAGAATAGATGAGAGAAAATTACATTCCTAAAAACTTGTTCATTTTTCCAAAAGGAAATATAGTACATTGTAGTTAACGTACCAGTGTAAGTACCAAAATTAAATATTTTAAAATAAACAAACAAAAGAAAAGTCGGTAATGGATTGTGGAAATAGTGAATATTTTGTAGCTGATGTTGAAGTATTAGGCTATGTTTCCCCCCCTACCACTTCTATTCTTCTGCAGAGTCATTACGTTTTGTTATAGCCAAATCTAGATGCGCTGACACATACCCTCAGTAATTTTTGCTTACCTCTTTCCATCAATACTGGGATGAAAATACCTTGAGTTGTACTCTGTGGTTTGCCAGGGGTTACATGAACCATAAGATGATCTTATATCATTAGTTTTCATGAAGATTCAAGTGGATAAATTATTTTTATATGAAAACATATATTAAGGAGTAGAAAGCAAAATTTACACAACTATCTCAAATTTTGTGTTTGTGGCCCATGAATGGGATACTTCTTCATTCACCTCTGCTATTAGTCAAGCTTTAACAAAAATGTTAGAGGAGTACTTTTCTAAAGCAAGGAGAGAGAACATTGTAGGTAGTAGATTTCACTCAGATTCACTGGGTACAGAATTTGTATGTGCTATTTAGGACATCCCTAAATGTGTGCTTGGTATAAATGTGTATTTCAACGTAGGTAGATATGCCAAAATAGCCCACCACCAACACCACCCTGTAAAATTACTAAAGTAATTTGCTTCCAATTTACATTAGGTGCAAGGCTGAACTTTTCAGTTTTTAGTTTGTGACACAGTTTGAAGACAACTTTATTGACAGAAAGATGAAGACCTGCCCATTTTTCATCCCAGAAAGGCTATTTCTCTAAAATGCTAAAGCAACCATGTAATTCAGAGAAAGGAAAACAAAATCAGTTAAACCAGATCTTTGGCATTTGAAAAAGCACATAACTGGTTAATTTTAGGTGATTTTAACTTTTCTACATATTTATTTAGCATAATTTATTCACACCTGGGAGTCATTTTGTAACTTAGTCTTATGCCTCAATAGTAAGGTGATGTTAGGAAAACTGTAAATGTCAGAGAGCTCCTAAGTGTCAGTGGGAGTTCTGCAGTCAGAATGTTTAGAAACTGCAAGTGCAAAAAAGAGAGAAAAATAATTGGGGTGATTGGATGTCCCTGCCTATATCTGGAAAACTTTCAGAATTCAGTAAGATCATAAAAACTTATGGAAATTATTTTCCTTCATGTTTTTTAAAGTTCATCAAGCAAATTCAGCTTTAGACATCCTCAAATTAGAACAAAAAGTAGAACTACCAAAGAATAGAATAATCCAATTCAAATGGCTAAGCACATTACCAAGTTAAAGTTTCCCAAATCTCAGTACCTAAAATTTGAGACAACATTCTATTAGATTAAAGTTGGCCACAGACTTTTTGCTACTCTTACCATTTAAACATAGTTTGTCATTCCCCTCTCCTTGAATCCAAGATGGCCTTAAGGACGTTATTGATCAATAGAGTATGGTAGAAGTGATATTCTAGGATTTTGGAGGCTGGGTCAAAGGAAACCTTGCAGCTTCTCTTCAAGTCTCTTGGTCTTCTCTGAAACTACCATGCTATGAGAAGCTCAAGCCACATGGAGAGGCGCTAGAGGATGGGGCACCATTTGAAGAAAAAGAGGTCAATGAGCACCAAGGCTGGTAAGTGAATAAGCCATGTTGGAAGTGGATCCTATATCCCCAGCTGCCCTGGCTTATGCCATGTAGTTCAGGGACAAACCATAAGGTAAAGTGTTCTCATATTTCTAACCCAAAAAGTTGTGAGGAAAATAAAATTGTTGTCATTAGATACTAAGTTAGGTAGTTTGTTAAATAACAATAGATACCTAAAACAAACATTTTCTCTAAAGCATTGTAAATTCCATTTTCCCATGGACAAGAATCCCATGCAGGCATTTTATGCAAAATGAGAAATATTGTGGGAAATACTTGAGTACTAGCTCCAGGATAGTTTTAGAAAACATGGTCGGAATAATTATTTATGTGTTTGTTGAGGGTTACAGTAAGTTCTCAGTTCTGCATATTTGTAAAGGCAGTCCAGTAAATGAAATTTTTCATTAGAAATGAATATTTTTTGTCCATGGTTGGCATCAGTGCAGATATTTTGTTGTGTCTCTAGAGGAAAATAAACATCTTGACTTCCTCTTTTCTATAGTGTAATCCATTAGTCATCCACAGTGTTATAGAAATTTACATACTTTTTGCTGACATAGTGATGATAGTTTGGTTGTTGTTAAATTGTGTTCACATTGTAATGCTGAAAGAAGATCAATCTTAACCAAATAACCATATATTTTGAGATGATAAACACATTCTTAACAAAGGAATATGAAAACTCTTGCTCTCACAAAGCAAGCCTATTCTGTTAAAGCTGCCTGTAGTAATGTATGAAATATAAAGACAAAAGCAATGTATAAAACACACAAAAAAATCCTATTTGGTCCTATTATCTTCCATTTATTTTCTTACTGTGAAGGTAAATTTAGTTTGAATTTGATAAATAAACTTTTACTATACCAGCGCTCTTTTTTTTTGGCAGTTGAAAATGAATATATTTTCAATTTTTCTAAGAAAAAATAACACTGTATTACAGTATATTAATTCAAATTGCACTTTAATGCCAAAGTATTGAAACATCATAGCAACATGTGCCCTACTTGAAATGTATTGATGTTAGGTAGACCCTTCTTTGGATACTGTTTTTTTTTTTTTTTTTAATAGAACCTAAAGGGATGCTTTACAAATTCTAACAGGATCCTAGAAGCTTTGAAAAAGCCATGAATAAATGTGGATGAAAAGATTTGAGATCTGACATCTAATTTCTTTTTTTTTTTTTACATCTAATTTCAATTGAAGATAAATTTGGAAATGTAACCTGTTCTTCTCATTGATGATAACTTTTTTTTTTTTTGGAAATTTCCTAAGACTTAAAATAAACCAGTCAGTGTTATGCAGAAATAAATATAAACACTGTTTACTTTCTCTTTTGGTGTCAAAGAGTCAAAAAGAAGGTTTGGGGGCCTAAAGCATATCAGAAAAACTCAGACCAGTGGGACAGTCCAAGCTAATTGAATACCTCAGATGTTTAAAAAAAAAAAAAAAACAGATAGTCATCTCTAGATGAATCTGTTCCAGTATGAAAGATTCTCTTTATTTCTCTTCTATTCTCATTCAGAATTTATCTTATTTATACAAGTTATTCAAATTCATATTTCATGACTGTGTTACATGCTACTGGCTCAAACTTTCTCTGTAAATAAAGGAGTGTTAATCTTCATCAGAAATCGATTTCACCAGCATATCAATTTCTACTGAAAATTGTATTAGTTCTCCTAAGAGACTACTATAAAAGACTATACAAGGGTATAAAGCAAAATATAATATTTAATGCAATATTCAAGACTACAAGGCAAAAATAAGTAACTAATTGAAGCCTTAAAATAGGAAATGAGCTTTTCAACCAAATCTATCTTTTTAAAACTTTATTTACATAGAAACTGTTTTTGTGTTCTTAACAGATGTCAAACACTGTGTTAGATCCTGGGGATATAGAGGTGAATAAAATTAGGTCCTTGACCTTAAGGTATTCTCAGTCTACTGGGGAAGACAGATGTGGAAACAGAATTACAATGCAATATGATAACTGCCAAAACAGAGATGGGAAAAGGGAGAGTGACTCATAAATTAACAGTTCTACACTCTGACTTTTACTAAATATAATGATATATCTGTGTAACCTTAACTCAAGTACTAAATTTACATGAAAATAATTAAAAATTGCAAAAGATATAACCTTTTGAAATAATAAATTATCCATCATTTGCTTCAATATGGCAATACTAAAAATGGAAACTTTTTTTTGTAGTTTTATGGTTTTATTAACACAAATATGACGTGCACAACAAGCTATCTATTCATTTTCTTCGCTGTGCAGCCTGGCATTGGGATTAGTGACTCTGATTGC